GCTAACTGGCTCAGTTCGTCTTTGCTATTGTCATATACCTTTGCTAGCTGATTTTGAAACATATTTGTCTCTTTGGTCTGAAGTTATTTCCACTTGAATTGCTCCCCAAGGAGTTGTGGGATTTTTTGAGCAAATCATACCTGAACCTTCCGCAATAGATTAAGCAGAATGGGTTCTTGGACTACTTCATTTTAAAGTCTGTGTTTTCAGGTTTCCTGTAGAACCAGAGAGATCTTTCTGTGTGTGGTGGGTTAACTTTGCCTGGACGCCAGGTGACCACCGAGCCGCTCTATCACTCCCCCTTGTCAACTGGACAGGGGGAGAAAAATAGGCTCGTGGGTTGAGTTAAGGACAGGGAGATCACCCAGCAATTACCGTCACGGGCAAAACAGACTCAATTTGGGGAAAAATAATTTAATTTATTGCCAATTAACAACAGAGTAGTATAATGAGAAATAAGAACCTTAAATCTTAAAACACCTTCCCCACCCCTCCCTTTTTCCTGGGCTCAACTTCACCCCTGAATTCTCTACCTCCTCCCCCACAGCGGCGCAGGGGGACGGGGAATGGGGGTTGCGGTCAGTTCATCACACGTTGTCTCTGCTGCTCCTTCCTCCTCAGGGGGAGGACTCCTCACACTCTTCCCCTGCTCCAGCGTGGGGTCCCTCCCACAGGAGACAGTCCTCCACAAACTTCTCCACGGGCTGCAGTTCTTCACGAACTGCTCTAGTGTGGGTCCCTTCCACGGGGTGCAGTCCTTCAGGAACAGACTGCTCCAGCGTGGGTCCCCCATGCGTCCACAGGTCCTGCCAGCAGCCTGCTCCAGTGCAGGCTTCCCACGGGGTTACAGCCTCCTTCGGGCATCCACCTGCTCTTGTGTGGGGTTCTCCATGGGCTGCAGGTGGATATCTGCTCCACCATGGACCTCCATGGGCTGCAGGGGGACAGCCTGCCTCTCCAGGGTCTTCACCACGGGCAGCAGGGGAATCTCCGCTCCAGTGCCTGGAGCACCTCCTCCCCCTCCTTCGCTGACCTTGGTGTCTGCAGAGTTTTTCCTCTCACATATTCTAACCCCTTTCTTCCAACTGCTGTTGCACAGCAGTTTTTTCTCCTTCTTAAATATGTTATCACAGAAGCCCGACCACTGTTGCTGATGGGCTCAGCCTTGGCCAGTGGCGGGTCCATCTTGGAGCCAGCTGGAACTGGCTCTGTCGGACATGGGGGCAGGTTCTGGCATCTTCTCACAACCACCCCTGTAACCAAAACCTTGCCATGTAAACATTGTGCTATGCTTTGGGCTCTGGAATGGCGTATTATTTCAGTGTGGTATCATCCACGGTGGATCCGAGGTGAATGCCTGTGGTCAATTGTGGGAACGTGGCATTGATATACCTGCTGGCTCCACTTAGAGCTTGCTTGGGCCAAGCTGCTTCTGACCTGAGCAGGTTCAGGAAGCAGGATAGCTGTGTTTGCTTAGCGTAGTGCCTGGCCTAATGGACCCTGAAATACTTGACTTGCAGTGCTTGTAGCCAGCCTGCAATTCCTCCATTGGAAACAAAGTTCACTTCAATCCAGGTGAGCTGCCCTTGGAAAAACTAGAGGTGACAGATGAAATAGCAGTCATCTTATTTGGTTCCTGAAGATATATTCAAGGGCCAAGTTAGCCCTTTTGGGATTACATAGTCATGCTGTAAAGCTGTCTTCAGCAGGCTGCCCAGCATGTACCCTAAGGCATCGTTCTTCCAGTCAGCAGCCATTCCTTGCTCAAATATGGAAAAATTATCATTTGACCTTGTTTGCATCCAGTTTACCAAGCTGGTCTGATTGTTCTGTTAAGTTTCTTTATAATTCACTGTCCTGAGCCTTATGCTGTCCACAAATTTCAGTAGCTAAGTTATCATGCTTACATTTACTGAGTGCCATGTTTACCTTGTTTATTGTTGTAGTATGGTAATTGAATTATCTAGAGATACCATGTCAGATGCTTTGTGGAAATCTGTTATACCAACCTTATCTTTGAACAAATGAGTCAATGATCTTACTGAGATCAAATCAGTTTGACTGTGCTTATTTTCAGTAATCTCACGCTGCTTAGTCTTCGTTGTATTTGCCTCTTTCAGTTCCTTTATCCAGGATATGATAGAATAGGTGCTCTTGAGTACTCATGGAGTGGTTCCTATTCCAGCTGAATGCTAAGTAGTAAATGCTAAAGTTAAACTTTTCCAAGTAAATTAGTTTGCATCACTTCATTTGAAGAATGCTTGTTCTATTTGCTCACTTGTTTTAGGTAAATCCGTTGCTTGAAGCTTTTGGCAATGCCCAGACTGTGATGAATGACAACAGCAGCCGCTTTGGAAAATACATACAGCTGCATTTCCAGAAGAATATAGGTAAAGTCAAGGGCAATTAGTAGTTTGGGGGATGGTTAGGCACCGGAGGGAGTGGACTGAGTAGCCAGAACTTGTGGAGGGTGAAATTTTGACACTTGACTTCCTGTGGGAAAGGTGTGCAATTAAGTAAAATCTTACAGCAACCACAGCTGTAGCGTAAGGCCTGGGTTTGGACAGTGTGGGAGTACAGGAAGGATATGGAGGTGATGGTGCAGGGGAGGTATCACTAATACTCTGTGGTGCCAGAAACCTTGGTTGTTGCTAAAGGAGGTGAGCAGATATCTCTACGATGATGGGAAGCATGGAGAAGCCCATTTCCAGGGTGCTGGGCAGCCTGGAGGGTGTTGTACACAAGAAAGTTGTTTTAGACAGTTCCATGCTCCTATCACCAAATAAGAGATGCAGGACAGCTCAGTCACCTTCATGTCCCCGAGTGCAATGTTTACCCTGTCACTTTCTTGTGTGCAGTGCGAGGTGCAAAGCTGAGTGAGTACCTATTAGAGAAGTCACGGGTAGTGCAACAAGATACCGGGGAGAGGAATTTCCATATCTTCTACTACATGTTTGCTGGACTGTCTTTGGAGGAAAAGCAGATGTATGGACTATTGGATCCTTCACTCTACAGGTACCTCAAAGGCAGACCCTAGTTTAGTCTTGATGATGGGGGATGGAGGGAAAGCAGCAAAATGGAGCCTATGCCTCTGCCCTGTGGCTTTATCTGTGGAGCCTGGTACAGGTAGACAGATGAATGGAAGCTGCATGAATGGGATCTGAATGGAGCTGCATGAAGAGATCTTATGGGTCATCGTGGAAGCTGTGAGGTCTGGAGTCTCTTCTTTGTTGCATTACCTTGGAAAAGTTTCTTCTCCTTTCACGTCTCCACTGCTGCTGATCTGCTTTGTTCCTTTGGGACTCATGTGCTGTGCTGATTGTGTGACGCTTTTACATGGGATGTACACTTTCTCAGGTACATAAGTGGACGATTTGGTACACAGGATGTAGCTCAGCGCTGGAAGCACAAGTACCAAGAGGTGTGCAATGCCCTTGACATGGTGGGCTTCCAAGAACAGGTCAGTTCTGGGATCATTTAACTTCCATCTGTGCTTCCTGCAGGCATAGGATTTCCTTCTGGCTGCCGTTTTGAGGCTCAGTCTTATTCCTCTCCTCTCTGGATTTTCTGTGTTGCTTCCAAACCACCTGTCTGTCAAACTTTTTGTAGAGCCTTTTCCCAGAGGCTGCCTGTGCCTTTCCCTCACCTCTCCAACTTCTGGGGCCTCTGTGTTGTATGTGTTACACATACAACAGTGTAAGGTAGGTTTTCAGTCACCTTTCTTTTGTGTTTTAGGAGCAAGTGGACATGCAGGCTATCTTGGCTGGTGTGTTGTCTCTGGGCAATGTGACCTTTGAGCCTGAGGAGAGCCGTGGGTCTGTAAAAGTGAGTGAAACCTCCCGGGGATGGCTGAAGGCTGCAGCGGTGAGTCACAAGAGCTGACAGAAACCTTATGGATATGGTGCTGGTTCCCACTGGCAGTGTGACTGCAGGAGCTGCTCCTGCCAGAGATGGCAGAGGACGTTTCTGCCTCGGAGTATAAAGGGTCCTGAAGAACAAGGAGTTTTTTCTAGAAATGCACAGTATGACCCCATGACTGCATTTGTGTTCACTGCTGTTCATTCCCAAAAAGACACTTCCCAGCTTCCATTTCTTGTGTGTCTAGAACCAGTGTCTTGCATATGGCGATATCACACGTGCCTTGTTGACTTCATACAATACAAGCTTTTTAAAAATAAATGTTATATGTTACTAAGTGTGATGATGCCTTGGAGAAATTCAGGGGTGCAGTATCTGAACACTAGTTCTGTGTTTTTGACAGATCTTGTCCACCTTAACTGCTACCAATTTTTGTTGGTTATCCAGAATTAAACTTTCTATTATTTCATCACAGATTTAAGAAGTATGTATTCCCCAGGACCATCCCATTTTTATTGTATGGGTTAAATACATTATCCTGCTTTGTTAACAACACAGAACAGAAAAATGTAACGTATTTCTGCCTTTTCTATGTCTTTTTATGTTGATCTGTTTGAAATCCCAGCAAGCTTGGTTTTTGGTTTCACAGGCATCTCTTTGCCTGTTTCCCTCCTACACCATACCTGAAACAACCACTTACATCTGTTCAGCAGCCAACTTCTTTTGTCTTTCTTCTTAAAGTTTACTCCTTGTTTTTTGCCGACAGGAGGGGAATTCCTGTTAAAGCAATCACTGAGGGGCTCAGCTGTGTCTGAGTTCCCTTTGTTTCCCGTCTCTTGTGGGTTCGTGTGACTCTGGTGTCTGCTGAATCTCAGACATCTCAGCACCTGCACAGTCACCTCCGTGTGGTGCTGTTCAATAAGTCATTAAACCACTCAGCGGGGACTGGTGTGGCTCCCAAAGAAGGTGAAAGGTGGCAGCACTGGGAGAGGAAAACAGAAAGTATTTCAGAGAGAGGGCAGGAGTGAGCTTGGTCACTGCAGGGATAATGCAGATCTCAGAGCCCACATCTGACTCCAGTGCTGTGAGATGTTAACAGTAATACTTACCTTGCAGTGGAGCTCAAAGGCCTTAATCTGAATCACCCCGTTACACTGGGTGTTGCACAGACGCAATCCCCACATGTAGAACAAGGGTTTACAATTGACTGTCCTCATCTATTTTCTCTCTCCCAGGGCCAGTTTGGAGTCCAAGAAGATGAACTGTTAAAATGCCTTATTTGTACAACGTCGGTGACCCGAGGTGAGCAGATTCAGCGTTTTCACACCCAGCAGCAGGCAGAAGGTAAGAAACATAATGAATTGCAGATGTGCTGGCTAGAAAGACTGACCCATATTTGGTGGAAGGGTATCCGCACACATGTGCAACTTGTTGGGAACAAAGATGTCTGTCTGTGCCGCTTCATTCCTCTTGCACAGAGGCAAGTATATCAATGTTTATCTGTTTAGTCTATTACTGACATGTAGGACCATGAATGCTGCTTTTGTTTGATCTCCAGGAGACTGCAGAGATTAGATGAGAAACTGAGGAATTAGCCTTCCTTTCTCTCTCAGTCCAGTCTAGAAGGAAACTGTAGGTATTTATACAGAAGAGGGGAAGGCTCCTGTTGCAGAGTTCTTGCAGTGTTCAGAGCTCTAGGTAGTAGATGGAGAAATAACTGAGAGAATCACTGAGATAGCACAGTATCAGGGAAGGAGTGAGATGAAAGGGAAGTATGTTAAAGTAACAAGTGCAAGGTGTTATTTTTCCTTTCAATAAGAAAAGAAAATAATCCAAGAAAATCTGCACAAAAAGGTTCAATTAAAATAAAAGATTTTAAAAATTCTTAAAAAAAGGCATGAAATCCCAGGATTTCTAGATTGTTGCTTAAAATAAATGAAAGAAAAAACTGAAAATGGGGAATTAGCTAGTTCTGTTTCCCAAATGTCTTCTCCTGCATTTCTCTAGCCGATAAAGTAAACATCTCCCATCAGTAGGTGCATCATGCAGTAGGTCATGTTGATTTGGTCTCCTTTTTCTTGGAATGTCAGCCAGTATTCCATCAATTGCATCCTCCTCTTGCCCACAGCGTTTAAACACTTGGCAGCTGTGGGCTAGGAGGAACAGAACCATTCAATTTTCCAAATACAACTTGGAGCCTCTCACTTGGTTTAACAGTGAGGGGATGCATCCTCAGTAGACCTGCAGAGGGAAAGCAAGTCTCTGGATATTCTAAAAAGTGGCTGGGCTTTTTTGGAAAGGAAATTTTCCACTTCAGATGATCTCACAAATGCCCTAGAATGCTATATCTGATCTTGTAGAAAGATTGTGAAGATTTTGGAATGAAAGAGCTCTTTTTGAGCTTACACAGGGCAGGGACAATCAGACAGATATCTAATGTTTATCTGATCTTTAAAATAGCTTCATAAACTACTAGACATTGTTGCTAGAGATGGATGTATTGAGCCAGCTTGTGTGCTGTGTTCCCTGCTCTCCTTGGAGCCCTTCAGTGAGCTGCTGTTGTTTTCTCTGTGCAGATGCTCGGGATTCCATTGCAAAGGTGGCATATGGCCGAGTATTTGGCTGGATTGTTTGCAAGATCAATGAGCTGCTGGCTGAGAACGTGGATCCTGAGGTGGAACTGAGGGAGATAGGTGAGTTCTGCCTGCCTTGCTCCTGTTCTGTCCTCAAATGTGTGTCCCTTGGCCACAACGAAGGAAAGGCACAATATGAGGTTTCGCAGAGATTGCATGCAGGGATCCATTATCAAAGACATGATCATGTTGGAGATGCTAGTCAGCAGTATGACGTCTGTAGGGCCTTGGCTAACTCTGAGCAGTTGGTTGGTCTGAAGCAACTGTGAGGCTGTAGTTCTGGGGCACTCTGGCTTTGCAGAGGAGCCAAGGGTGGGAGTAGGGCTTCTCCTAACTAGCTCTCCAGGGGGATTTATGGGAGCGGTGCTGCTGGTGACTTGGCTGGGGTTTCCTTGTGCCATAAGAGCTGGGTGATGGGAGATTTAGTTGTGTGTTGGGGTACGCAGCTATCTGCAGGGACGATCTGCAGGCTCCATGATGTGCTCATCTTCCCTCTTTTAGGTATCTTGGATATTTTTGGGTTTGAAAACTTTGCAGTGAATCGTTTCGAACAGCTTTGCATAAACTTGGCCAATGAGCAGCTGCAGCACTTCTTCAACCGTGTAAGTCTGTTGTGGGTGATCTCACCTTGTGTGACAGAGAAAGTAGAGCACTGATCTACCTGGCATATGAAGGAGACCTTGGGGAAAAACAGGTCTATTGCCTGGAAGGACAGAAATGGTGATTAGTGAAGCAGGGTAGAGAGCAGCAACCTTCTTTGCTGCGGCAGGGGAGCCACTGGTGCAGAGAAGGAAGGAGTAGAAGGGTCAAGCAATGACCAAAGGTGGCAGAGCAGGGATAGTTACACTCTGAGAAGTGTTCCTGCGTTATGCACCAGGATCAGTGAGCGACAGGCTGAGCATCTGAGCATGCAGAACAACAGTTTCATCTTGGGCCTGTCATGCCATGGGTGAGAGAGCCATGCCTCTCTCCTCTGTTCAGAGTGGGAAGCAAGATGTTCAGGGGTGCTTCAACCTCTTTTTTATTTGTTTCAGCACATTTTCCAGCTGGAGCAGGCTGCCTATAAGGAAGAAGAGCTGCCTTGGGAGACTATCACATTCAACAATAATGAACCTATTCTGGTGAGTGAGAGGACTGACAGAAGACAGTTGCTCCATCCAGCCAAGAGAGGAGACTTCTCTTGCTATCATGGGGAGGAGATGCACCCGGGAAGAACCTCTTCAAAGGGTGGTGTAGGTGAGAGTGGATGCCCTGTACTGCTTTAGATATGTGTGGTGTGTCTCCTTTCCCTGCAGAATCTGCTCCTGGCCAAGCCACTTGGGCTTCTGTCTCTTCTGGATGAGCAGAGTGCATTTCCTCAGGTATGCATGCGATAGGGGACAGAGAAAATAGCGGGGGGGAATGTAGCAATAAATATTTGGGCTGCAGAGAGAGCTCTTATGTTGGAGTGTGACTTTAAAGAGCAGGATGAGCAGAAGTGTTCCCATGTGTGACTGGTGAGACAGGACAGCCAGATCAGGGACAGTCTAACAATATTGACATTCCTGTGGAGAGCCAGAGAGAGTACAGTATGAAATTATGCACAGTCAAGGCCACTTTGTTTTGCTTCCATGTGCCCTGATCAGGTCTCTATTGCAGCCTTATTGTTTGATTATGAAATCTGCTTTCTTGCAGGCAACTGATAAGACATTTGTGGATAAACTAAACAGCAGCTTCAAGGGAAATTTACACTTCCAGCCAGGCCGAGGCCGTGTTTTGGGCTTCAGCATCATTCACTATGCTGGGAAAGTATGTACTGTTTGCAGGAAGAATGCTGTCGTAACGTATGTAGGAAGGGGTAAATGTGTTGCTTGACAAATAAGGCTTTGATGTTAAGGAGTGTATGGTCCGATGATGGTATAACAGAAGTGATGTGTTCCCAGGGAGTTGCCTCCTAGGGTTCCCTGGGAGCTCTGTAGGAGGTATAGGAAGAGAGGACCCCTGAGGAAAGTGGGGCTACCTCTGGGAAGCATAGGGTGTTAGAAGAATCTGCTGTACTCATCATCATTTTATTGGAGCTCTAGTCTTAAAATAGTCCTTTATAAAATAAAAGCCCTGCATCCACTGTGCAGTACCAAAGGACAGTCTAATGGCTTTACCTTTACCTATTGGGTTCCAGAGCATAGCAGTCACTATTTTATTGCAAGCACTGAGGAACACAGTGAGAGCAGCCAGGTGTTTTGAAAGTGGAAGCAATTATTTGTACATTCAAATGGTATCTAAGCAGCTTGGGTTTTAGGGCTATGCATGTAGCCTTACTGCCACCAATTTTGAAAGCATTGACCCAAATATGTTGAATTGACTGGAGATAATTTTTGGAACAGGAGCACACATGATAATTCAGGTCATTGTAATATGCAATTCAGTAACCTCATCTCACCATTGTTGACTAAGTTATTTGTGACACTCTTTATCACAAAAATTAACACCTAACATAGAAAGGAGAGCGCCAGCCTGGAGATGAGAAAGGAAGGGAGCAAGAGAAACAAGGGGGTACATAACAACAGGATGGAAGCCTATTCAAAGGGAAGAGAGGGAGAGCAAAGAAAAGGTGGATGTCTCAGCGTTGTGCTGCTGTGGTTCTAATACCTCAGTGCCATCCGCAGGGTTTTGTTCCTCAGGATTTGCATCTGAATGGAGTGCATATGCATTTACAGAATTCACATGTGAGCCAGTGTACAGAATTCACGGGCAAGCCAGTGTACATTCAGGTTAACAGTTGCTCCTGGCAAGCTGTGGAGGTGGCTTTCACAGGAAGTCTGTGAGCACTGCTGGCCTTAGTGACTTGCTGCCCTTTTCCCTAGGTACAATATACTGCTGGGGGCTTTCTAGAGAAGAACAGAGACACCTTGCCAGCCAACGTCCGTGGGCTCTTCATCAACAGCGTCACCCCCTTGCTCAGTGTGCTGTTCACAGGCAAGTCCCTCTGCTATGATAGGGCATCCCACATGAATCAAGGCCCACCTTGGCAAGAGTTAAGTGTGGGGATAAGGCTTGTGTGCTATGAATGTGTTTCACAGCTGGCAGCCCCAGGGAGACTCTAGGAAGGCTGCAGCCTGGAGTGGTGCTGCTGGCACATGCTGAGCTGTTGGAGCTGTTCGTTCCTCCCTGGGAAGCAAGGCAGGTTGTATGCTCTTCCAGAGAATTATCCACTGCTCAGATGTCTTCCCTCAGATCAGACAGCCCATCTTCTCCAGGGCTAGTGCAGGACTGTCTCCACTGGCCCTTTCCATATGCTCTGTTCTTGTCTAGAAATGAAGCTGTACAAGGTCATAGCTTCCAGCTGTTCACACTAGATAGTCCTGTAAAATAGAATGCTGAAAAGCCACAAGAGATGAGTGTAGAGATTACTCTTTTCAAACACATTTTGTTTTTCCGGTACAACTTGTTAAAAAACTCTGAGGTTGTGCATTATTTCTCTCCCACCACTACACTCCCTTTTTCTAGTTATTGATAAGCCCTCAGAGACTCCAAGGCTTCTATGAAAGTAAACATGTAAAGAAAAGTCAGGTGGATGCTTCCTTGGAATTTGTCTTGCTGAACACAGTGCTTCTGGTGCAGAATTTTTTTTTTTTTTTGTCCTGTTCAGTCCATGCCACTTTCTGGGATTTACAAATAACTGATGAATTTAATTTCTGTTCTCCAGTATGTTTTTCAGCTCTTCTGCTCAGGAGTATCTTTCTCCCTTACCACTTTCACACTGTTACTGAAGATACTTAGTCTAGTCCCAGCTCTTTGAAAGTTCATAAACAGAGAGATAACCTGTTCTCATATTGGTTGTCCGGTCCTGGGCAGCCGGCTCTACGTGGCCCTGCTGAGCAAAGGGGTTGGCCCAGATGACCTCCAGAGGTCCCTACCAATCTCAAGCATTCTGTGATTCTATGATTCACATGACACCGTTGCATCAAGGGTGTGCAAGACTGTCATTAGATCCTTCAGTAAATTCAACTTCCCTCAATTTTTCATCTTGTCGCTGTATTAGTTTTAAGCTATCTGACTTTGTATAACCTTCCGTCTTGACTGCTGTAGATGAGCTTCCCATTTGCTGTCTGTACTTTTTTCCTGCATTGTTAGATGCCCGTTGATATTTCTTTTGAAGGTCATTTCAGGTTGTTCAATAACGTGATTGCCTTGTCTTCTCAGTGGCAGAAAATAATATTGCCTGCATTGTATTCTTCATATATTTGCATTTTCTTCTCCCTTTCTTTAGCTCTTTCCTTGTATTTCCACACGGTGAAACCTAACGTCCTGCCAGTATTTGTAGGGAGACTTGTGTGTGTAGTGAGGTTTTAATATTTAGACATGGTTGATTGCGAGTAAAGGTACAAAATTAACTATTGTCTCTGTTCTTCCAGCCACTATCTCCAGGACAGGGACACTGATGCCTCATGTGAAAGCCAAGGTATTGCACTTCATTTGATAAATGATGGCATAGTTACCTGATATTTATGATTTGAGAAACTGGCTGAAAATGAGAGCAGACAGAAATTGGTTGAAAAGAAGAGCAGACAACAATCTGCTTGCAACAATTTCTCCTTTGTTTTTTACCGGGTTTTCTGCTTGCTTCTGCTGATATCTTTAACTTGTCTTCCCTCCCCTGAAATCCATTCTCTCTCCTTTTGCCATCTGCCCTCCAGCAGAGCTCTTTGGATGGCAATCAAGCACTTCTTCCAGGGGTGATCTTTTGTTTGGGTCTGGTTTCAGGTCATACCAGGAGCAGACGACAAGTTCAACAGCACACGAAAACAGTCTGCCGGCGCTCAGTTCCGGGTAAAATATTGCTGCCTTGCAGTGCCCCTTGGGATGAGTGCAGTGATATATTAGCGAGAGCTGCCAGGCTGCTAAGCATAGTTAAAGCATCTAGCATGTAGATGGGTTTTTCAGGGTGCCAAGCACAGCTGATCATGGTGGGAGTGACCCGGTTGTTGTCAGAGCCTCAGAAGTTGCTGTGGGGTGGGAAAACAGTTCTCGCTGTAGGATATTGCACACCGGGCTCTGGCAGTGCTTTGGCTTGCTGGACTGCTGATCTTTCTCTGCCCTCGCCAGCATTCCCTGACGGTGCTCATGGAGAAGATGTATTCTGCCAACCCGCACTTTGTGCGCTGTATAAAGCCCAACAGCCAGAAGGAGCCAGGTGTGGTGGACAGCCAGGTGGTGCTGCTGCAGGTGAGGAAAAGCAGTGTCCTTTACAGGTACTTCTGCCACATCTCAGTGGGGAGGGGAGACCCTACCGAAAGGCTCTGGAGATAGCTGGAAGCTGACTGGTCTGAGTCTCCCCTTGCAAGAGAAAGAGTAGGCACACTTTTTATGTATGTAAAGGTTCTGGGTATTTGGTTATTTTTGTGACACAGACTGCTGGGTCCAGGTTTTGCAGTCTTGGTTCTCTCCCATTTCTTTTTCATGAATGCAGTGAGATCTCCTTGTCAGGCACTAGGCTTGATCTTTGCATCTCCTGGATGGGGACTGGTAGAGACAGTATTCCAGAAAAAATTATGCATCCCGGAGGAGACTGTTCTCACCCATCAGCCAGGGCAACTGAATAGGAGCCAAGATGGGATCACTTTCGTAGGAGCTGAAATGTGCTGATATGACTGTCTTTGGGCATTGTGTCAGGTCTGAGATTCAGATGCTTTAAAGAATACTGAAAAAAGCTCTGTAGCCTGTTTAATGTATATAAGAAAGAATAGGATTAAGAGGGAAGTTCATCCGTGCCTCAGAGTACTTCTTTGTCCAGATTTGGAAGTAAAAGGCTATCCTCTAAGAGACAGAGGCAAAGCAGTACCCATGGCTGGAAGGTGAAGTTATCTCAGTCATTGGTTTTTATGGTTTCCAACTTTTAACTGAGAGTGGTTAATCATCAGAGTTACAGGATGTGGTAAATTCAGTCTTTAACCAAGGAAACATTTTCAGAAAGAAACTTTTTCGTTTTAAACTAGAGAAGTTAAGGGCTGAGTGAAGACATTTCTGGCTGCAGAGGAAGAAACTGATGTTTCTGTTTGTTTCTCTGATCCTCTTTGTGGTGCTGCTTCAGCTCCGGTACAACGGACTGCTGGAGACAATCCGTATCCGAAGAGATGGTTTCTCCTGGAGACCCTCATTTGAGGAATTCGCTGAAAGGTTTGTTAAAACCTCTGAATGTTCCTTGTTAGATATTGTTAGGAAAGCGACCCTGGTAATCAGATATGGGCAAGGAGTGAAACAGCCTCTTTAAAGTTCACGTGCCTGAGATCATGGGGTTGTTTGCTGTGGGAGGTTGAGTGAGAAAGACAGTGATTTATTGTTGTTTGCTGTGAGGGTGACGTCGATCAGCTCAGGACATCAAGGATGTGGCTCTTACCTTGCTGTATTGGGTTTTTTTTTTCACAGATATGGAATTCTTCTAGTTAAACCAGATGTTTCCCTCACAAAAGAAAGGTAGGAACCCTTCCTTTGTTATGTAAAATCCAGTTTGTTCTTCAGAGACTTCTGCTCTCAGAGCAGCATAGCAAACTGAGTAAAAGGAACAAAGTGAGGATGGGTTTTTGTGGTGATGGGGAACACAAATCCCTAGGCAAGGACAGTTTAGTGTTTAAAAAGCATTTGGTACAATGATGAATTAAATCTTTCTTGAATTGCTATATAGCAATTCAATTCAATTATTATAAAGCCTTGCTATCCTGTGGAATGAGAACTGGATAATGTACTTAATTAAGGGTGTCACAATAATGGTCAAGGATGGCCTCTGAACTCAGTATGGCAGGGGCTTAGCACAGTTGCCAGGTGCCTCTCCAGGCGTTTTCCTGATGGCCTCATGGGAGAAGAAGAAGATAAAGACAATGCCAAGCAAGCAGCCAGCACTGAATGTCTCCCAGGCTAGAGAGGATGTTTCTGGTCCAAGAATTTTTTACGTGTACAGGCATAATATACCCCCAGCACTTTCAGAACCTGACCGTTCCTTACACACACACCTACAGAGCTGTCCCTCCAGCTCTGCAGTCTTACCCTGTCAGCTTTTTACTTCCTACATCTCGGGCAGCACCTCCCCACCTCTTTTTTTCCACTTTCCCAGTCCCTCGTTCCTGCCATGGTCAATTGTGACTGATAATGAAAATGAAGCATGTAGGGCAGCCAGCTGATTTTTTTTTTTGGTCTTTTAAGAAAAGGATTTGAATGTTCTCCTGGAAAAGTTCTCTCCTGGCAGTAGCTCCTCCAGCCTTCACAGGGCTTCCTTAAAGTTACTGATGATACTGAATTAGTAAGAGTTGTAAACCCAATTGATACCCAAGTCAGGAGAGAATCTCATGGGTGAGAGAAAGATGGTGGTAGACAGGCAGCACGCGTGTTTTCAGACACAAAAATCATAGGATGCTTTTGAGAAAAGAATTACGTTGGATGTAGATTCTGGCACAGTGGAAGTTGGCTGAGATAGAAGGAAAACCACTTCTGCTTTGCTGTGTGAGATATTAGCAAAAAGTGTCACTATGTTTTCACAGCCTGGATTTGCAGGCAGAGGGAGGAAGCTGTCTGTCTGGTGCAGCTAGAGTATTTGTTTCAGTTCCAAGTATTGGTGAATCTTTCTGAGTGACCCAGATTTTATCACTCGAGTCTGCAAAATGAAACTAGAATTGGAAAACAGACTTTCTCCCGGAAGCCTTGCTGTGCTGACCTTGCAACTTGTGTGTTCCAAAGAGCTTAGAAATGAAACAAGGAAAAACAGTTCTGAGAATAAAATAGGCTCTGCAGACTTGCCTCCCAGGAAGTTGAAGGAAATCTGCCTAACTAGGAAACCCATTTGCTGATGTTCCTGAATGTGATCCTAGCTGTACCTCAAGGAGCACTACAGATTGACAGCTAGTTACTGAACATGATCGGGTGACAGGGGACAGAGAATGTAATGCAGAATCATTGAGGCACTTTCTCTCCCCTTATGCACCTAAAACCACTGGCTGCACAGTGTTCACTTGGGGTCGAAAATGATTTATTTAACTTTTTTCCTCTCTTTCAGCTGCTTGGAGATACTGCAAAATACAGAGCTGACAGGCTGGATATGTGGGTACGTGTGGATCTGGATAGGTGTGGATCACTGTTGCTGGGAATGAGGGGCCTGAACTGTAGACTGTTATCTGGTTCCCTTCAGGGAGCACTTTGTGGCTGTAGGAAAGGCCTGTCCAGAGGATGATTGGATGCAAGTTTAGACAAACTGTTTCTCACTGCTTCTTTCTCTCCCCAACTTCTCAGGAAGTCACGACTTTTCTTTAAATATTGGCACCAGGAACAGCTGGCAAAGTACGTGGAGCAACTGGAAAGAGCAGCAGTTGTCATACAGAAAGGTGAGCACTGGGGCAGGAGAGTCCCTCAACTCTGACTCAGACCAGGGCAAGGTAAAACTTTTCTCCAGTCCCTGCTCCACTATTGCACCTTTGCAGATGACAGAAAGGCAGGCCAGGAGCCATCTCCGCTCATTGTAGAGTCAGAGCGCTTATTGCAGATGCCCACCTCCTCACTGCTCATCCTCAATCAGGGAGAGCCATCATACAGTGTTGGCCTTGGAAGGGGAAAGCACGTGTGCAAGAGAACTGAACTGAGCAGGGCAAGCGTATGATGTGGCTGCATCCCGAGATCTGGGTAACCATCCTCTGGAGTGAGGGCTTGTTTGTGAGTGGTGTTGAACCGAGGATAGGAAAAAGAAGATGAGTGAAGCAGATCTCATTCCTACTTTCAGAGACAGGCAGAAGGGGATGAAGTTTTGTTTTGGTGTGCTTTTTTTCTTCCCTTTCCAGGTAGTGTCTGCTCTGGCAGCCTGTTTCTCCAGAGTAGGCACTGTGGGCAGTTTGGTACTTCCCTCTGCACAGACTCCATGAGGACTGTGCGACCAGGAGGAGGATGCTGTCATCATGCCTGGTCCCTCTCTGTTGTACTTCTCTTCACAATGGGTTGTTGCACTGCTGAAGCATCTGGGCAGCTTCCAGCTATGCAATATACAGTGTGACAAACATCAGACTGTTACATGTGTGCCTTGTTCTCATCCACGGGGAAGATGTGTGGGTAGTGGGAAATGAGAGAGTGCGGCTTTCAGGTCATATGCTTTAGTACCCGGTAGAGTAGGCGCGATAATGCAATGTCTCTAAAGCTCCTGATGAACCCTGTGATGGCTGCTTATGGGAAGGGTTATCCTGTGGGCTGACACCAAAGAAATCCAGTCTCCTGCATGGAAGAGCTTTGCTTTAACTGAGTAGTGTCTGAAGGGTACCAGGGAGATAGATGGTTAACAGAGGCCCTTCTGTGAGACTTTGTTTTTTACATATCCTGTGCCTTGGCATTAGAGATGAGAGCTTAGATCTGTAATTTGATTTTTTTAAATCCGTGATCTGGCAACTTAGAGAGTAGAAGACAGTTCTCATGTGGTTTCGACTGCCTGCTCAAGTAGACTCTGCATTGCTCTTTATTAACGTGATTGAAGTATTGAGGGCTTTGCACTGGGTGAAGGAATATTACCCAGTGTGCTTCCTCTAGGGAGCGACAAAGGCATGATGAGCATTGTTTTCTAATCACAGCTTTTCTCTGAACAGTTTTCAGGGGATTCAGATACAGGAAGAGTTACCTAAAACTGGTGGCTGAGCTGAGAGCTCAGGCACAGCGGCTACAGGAGGAGACAGAGAGAGAAAGAAACCGGCAGCTGGCAGTAGAAGCAGAGGCCCAGAGTGAGTTGCTCCCACTCCCACTGTCCGTGTGCGTGGCCACTTGTGCGGTGATCACTTCGAAGTGCTGTAAGCTCCACGTGATGATGGCCTGCCGTTGGCTCTCTTCGGGCTGGGGGCTCCACCGATGCGGTGGGCAGGGAGCTGCCAACATTTATGCCATTTGAAAATGCAGCTTTCTCTGTGGGGAGCAGAAGCAGCGTGGTGAAGGTCATTTGCCTGGCTGTGTTGGGAGGAGTGCCAAGCTGTGTCTTTCCCACACACTGCATGCAGCAGAGCCTGTCCCTACCCTGGGCATGTGGAGGATGGATCTCATGGATCTTGGATACTAGATTTCATCTACTTCTTTCCTCTTATTGCAGAGAGAATCTCTCTTCCAGTTCCTATGCCACGGAAGAGGCACCCTCAGCCTTGTCCCCATCCTTCTGATAAGCCACCACAGCCACCAGTGCCACGGCCACGCAGCAAACTAACAGAGGTAGCGATATTGGCTCTGCTTGGGGCCCTTTAGCCGGGTGTGCTCGTTCCCTGCTCCTTCCACCTTCTGCATGCACATGTTCTCCTGCGTGTGGTCCCAGGAGAATATTGTCATTCTTGTTACGAGAAGTGACAGAGTCCTTTAACTAACTGGTTAGTTATAAAGCGTCGTCAGGACCTTTGAGGACCTGAAAGCAGTGTTTGATAGTTTGCAACTGATCTTGTCTTAAGGGACTCAGGAATGGGATCGCTACCAAAGTGATCCCTTCAAAGGTCCCCTCCCTTTGACCTTGCTTTCATGCCCACTTTCCCCCTCTCCCCACTTTCAGTCCACTCCCTTTGATAACTTCTTGGACCCTTCTGCGCCTCGACCTGTTCTGGGGACAGAGGAACAGACTGGAGAAGAGGCAAAAATGAGGAAACTCAAGAGAGGAGCAACTCTCCGCTGGTTCAAAGAGACGCAGGCCCAGAAGGTCATGCAGGATGATGGGGCCTTTCCAAGCTGGCTGCATGGGATGATCAGCCGGAGGTGAGTACGCTGGACACAGTGGCTGCAGCTTGAGCTGTGGCAGGCAGGCAGAAGCTGCTGTGTGCTTAGGAGGACTGCGTAAGTTGGATTTGCCAGGATTTGCCTCCTTAAGAATGGGAGTGACCTGCATAACCTTTCACTTTCAGGCTGTGAGCTTCAAATCCTTAGGGGGAAGCTCACCGTCACAGGATGCAAATGCTGAAACTTTATATGGGTCCAGGGAAAGACTGTGGAAACTCATAGGAAATAAGTCCACTGTGGGTTCCTAAATACAGATCCTATGCAGGGAAGGGAGGCTTGGAAAGTACTTGGAGAGGAGATACATGCATGCGTTTACCCTGTTGTGGACCATTTGCAGAGACGTGATATGGAATGAAGATGGACTTTTGGTCTGACTCATTATGACTGTTCTCATATCTCTCAGTTTAGGTCAGGAGGAGACCTCAGTTTACAGCAAGAGAATACAGAATTGAGTGTACATTTATTTTAAAAAGTATTAAGAGGGGCTTTAGTGAGTGCCCAATAGCAAGATTCCCCCAAAGCCCCCAGAGATGGAAAAAGGAAGGCTTTTTGTTGATAACCTCTGCCCATCTAAGGAGAGTGCAGCACAGGTGGAATTTACATCTCTTTAGGCTGGGAGAGACATACGCAAAGCTCTACCTTCTTACGGAGTTGTTTACGAGACTGTGAACTCTAAACCTTTTTTGGGAAAACCTTTATTTAAATGCTTGAAATTTTGCTACTAGGTATGCCTCACACTTCAGTCTCTTGGCTGGGCCAAGCACTACTTTCCAAGCAGTATGATAATCAGAGATATGCTGATTATGCCAGTGATTGGTTAGGAGCAAGACACGGGGGTTAGCAGGTAGGCATCAGAATTTCCAGCTATAGTCTCCCCTGTGTGCAAATTAATCTATGGTGCTGCATGCTTGCTAACTGCCAGTGTCCCTTATTTGGTGGGACTTGTGTGTGGGCATTGCTGCCAAGCCTGCAAGTCATTTGAATACCTTTATCATCTTGTTCCAATTTGTAGTTTTTTTCTGTTAAAGCTGCAAGTCTCCTTCAGTCTTATTAGATCACAAGTTCTGGATTTTGTCATCTTATGAGTGTGAACATTAATCAGAGACATTATACAGCACGTTAGCTTGGTAAAGGATGCTACAGTAGCTGACAACTCCCTGATAGCTGCATTTTTTTTTCTTTTTTTAAGATCATAGAATCATAGAATCATAGA